CCCCAACCCCAACCCCAAACCCAAACCCAACCCCAAACCCAGAATTAATCTATTAGTTCAGAAACTTGCTGGTCTCCTCCAAAAAGGCACTTTTTTAATTATCCATTATTAATTTTTATTATCAAATATTCACTAAATATTGAGCTTTATATTATCATTTTAGTATTATAGTTACCAATTCCATTTATCATTGCTTTATGTTATCATTTAAAATTAATTACTATTTATGAAAATCATATATATCATTACAACTTTATCTCAAATATTTTTCAAATTTCTCTTATTATCATAAATGATTAAGTCAGTTACTGAAAACTAATTCAAGTTTTTTAAGTGATTCATACAGGAATTAGTTATTTAAATTATTTTTTATGGAAAAGTTGTACTGTTATGTAAGTTCTACATATAAATTACTTTAATCTCATAAAATTTCGACTGTCTGCTTAATTTACTTAAATTTTATAATAAATATTCTAAAATTTGTATTTTATTTATATAAACTTCACTTCTATAGAAAAGTAATTAGTTTAAAAATAACATTGCTGTTAATTATTTTTCATCAATGAAACAATAATTATGATCAACAAATAATTAATCCCTCATTTTATGAATTAAATGTAGTATTAGATATATGAAGTGTAAATACTTACAAAATTATCAAATAATTTGATGGATATATTATTATTACCAGAGATACAATAAATAAAAGTTTATAAAACAAATATCAATAAGTTTTGAATCAATTAAGTGATGAATTGAAGATAAAATATAATTTTATTCAAAGCATCTTTAATATAAATTTAAATTTACTCAATTATTAAGTTAATTAACTATATTGAAGCTTAAGTACTTGATTTAAAATATTATGATCGTAAAATTTCATTGCCATTAATCTTTTCAGTTGTACATTGTTGTTTACAGCGTTAAAAGAAAGAAGAATAAAAATAGAACGACATAATAGAGAATTTGGATATTCAAAAAAAAGAAACCTAAGATAAGTTGTTCAAGTAGATAAAATACAGAATTTTGTATAAAAGATACTAAGAATCACTATTAATAATTTACACCAAAGAGTAATTATTTAAAAAAAATAAATTTCTGAAGTATAAATATACATTATAATCAATTATTATGTTTTAATTTTGATTCTAGTTAGGATATTTCTTTTTTCAACCTTTAAATTTAAATAGTATAATCTTGATCTTTATGAGTTTAAGATAAAGTTTAACTTTTTTATTTTGGAGAAGTGGATGTAGTAATTGAATATCTAAGTTATCTACTTGATTTCTATTGATAATCAAATTTCAATTTATTTTATTATTTAAGTTCTTATTACTGAATAGACCATGAACGATATTTAGAGTATTCATCATGTTGTGTTTACAATGCTTATAGTTTGTATAATTCTCTGTCCTAACTGAAATTATTGAGTTACTTTAATTGTTAATATTCTAGAAATGTACTATTTAGAATTAAAGAGCCAAGTCTTAGATTTTGAATGAAAATATTTAGGTTTGATATCAAAGCACTTTTTAGGAGAATGTTTAGTTTAATTAGGTTTGTTTTTTTTTGGGATGGATAAGTATACAATTAGATTTGGATATTTATTTTAATTAAGAAATAGACTTAAGTTCTTATTATTGGATGAGAGAATTCAAAAAAGTAATGATTCTGATCTTATTCTAAATTAGATTATATAATTAAATAATTACATTATAATTTCAGTATTAAGTATATATCTAAGTAAATTAGATTTAGATTCTAATAAACAATATTTATTGCAAACTAAATGTTCTGTATTTGTTTAACTTTTCTAATAATAATGCATTAGGATCTAAATTTTTATGATAATCATTTATGATGCAATGTAATGCTTTAAGTAAATATCCATCTATAATTCTTGTACTTTATGTAATATCCTAGTTTAGATAATTAGAATTACTGAAATTTCATCAAACATTAATTGTTCTTAAGACATTTGAATTTTGATAAAAATAATTAAATAATTATTAATTATTAATTAATTAAGAATGCGTGGACCACGTTCAACTAATCCTTGTCCTACTAAAGAATAAGTTGAGAAACTAAAGCTACTTTAAACAGCAATTAAAAAAAGAACTGTAAAACCAGATTTTATAACTACTTACAAAATTCATATCATAATATCAAGTAATTAAATTATTAAGATTATTTAGTTGTGATTGGATTTTAATCATCTCTATTTTATCATTTACCAAGTAAACTACACTTTGGGTCCAAATGCTTATTTTTATGTTTTAATTATTATAATGACAATAGAATATAACATTAATGTAAGCAAAAACATTATTTAAAAACGATTTCACTTAATAAATAAATGTGGAAAAATGTAAATTGTCAGTTTTTGATGAAATTCCTATTAATTACAATTTTAAAGAAGCATATCCATAATGCAATCATTAAGTTTATAATTAAGGAAATTGTTCATCATCTTATGCTATTGCTGTTTCTTCTTCATTCTCAGATAGAGTATGCAAATAAAATTAGACTTAACAATTATCTGCTTAAAATCTATTATCTTGTGATGGTAAATTAAACTTAGGATGTAAAGGAGGACATTTAACAAGATCAGCTGATTATATAATAAAACATGGATTAACTACAAATTAATGTCATCCTTTTAGAGGAGATGATATATTTAAAGAATGTACAAAT